TTTGAAGGCCACTTACCCCTGCACCACTCACTCGTTTACTTATACTGAAAGCTACTCGGTTTGCCAAGTTTCATTTATTTGATACAGCACTCACATACCTAGAAACAGCAGCTCTGTTTCTGTTTGAACACACAACTGGTTTTGTATCTCCTTGTAACACAAGGAACAACTGCACAGGAAGTATGGTTATGCATTTTTGCCGATGCTATTTTGGCTGAATTTCTTCTTGGTCGCTTGTCACTACCACAGCACTACCTTGGGCATGTGAACTATTCAGATTTACACAGCAAACGTATGTGTCAGAGACTACAGACATCGGAGAAGGCCAGACAGAGAACCTAAACCCTTCCCACCAGTTACACTCTGGTTGGTTCTGCAATTTCTTCTACATTGCCCCTGATTCGATCCACAGGTAATAGTTTTGCCAATAATACACTGCTTTGGCACCTGACAGAAGGGGGGGAGCCCTGCCAACACACAAACAAATGTCCTAGTTCTACAGCAGTGGACCCTCAAGCAGACATTTTCCTTCTGTACGTGTCCCTCAAGGCTGCACATCTGTATGGACGCTCTGATGCCAAGCAAATGCACAGTGCACATTCCAGGTTTTTTCCCAGTGCAGCATGTTTTTTTCTGCTCAGTTGGTTCTGGCTACCAAAGAATGAGTTTAGAAATACCACTGTTAGCAGTGGAAGTTATACTTTTGAATGAATTGAAACAGGGCCTGAAAGTCACATACAAGACTGGAAGACTGTGGTCTTAAGTGAAGATACTTCACTTTAGACAATAAAACTTTTACAGTGTGAAACACATTCTTAAGGGATTTTACAGAGTCTCAAATACAGGGAAGGCAAAAAGCTGCTGAAGCCTTGGAACAAAGAGATCAATTGAAATGAAACCAAGCACAAAACAAATATAGCACTTAGAAAAGGCACCATCCTAAAAGCCCTGGACAGGTGAGAACAACTGTTATTTGGGACTGAAAATGTGACAACAGTGCTGACAGCCTTCCAAAGGACCTTATGGTATTTTATTATTGTGATACATTTTCTAAGATTTGTCCTCTAGTATTTTTATTTCAGTGACGTGTAACAAATAAGTGGGTGTGATGACAGTTCACAAAGTATTTCCTAAATTCAAGGATGTTTCTCAACTATCTGTATTTGAGAAGTTTCAACTATATGGCTTTTTGAGAAGTTGAACAAAGTCAATGTTGCACCTGGCTATTTTGGCTATTTTTTTTGTTTTGAAATCACACTTGTTGGCTTTGCAAGCTACTAGGAAAATACTTTCTTTTAATTTAAAGGAAAAAAAATAAATTTACTTTTACTGCAGTGGGGGCTGGTTTCAAAATAATGGCGTGAGCTAGAGCAGAGGCTGCATGAGCTGAGTATGTTGCACTGGACTGTCCCCCAACCACACACATTATCACAGCACTAGATGCAGAATGACTCCTTGAAACACAACAGCTTTCCACCTGCTGCTCCATTTGACAGGGCTGCAAGCTCAGGAAGTAGCCCATTTACTAACCTTGGCTTCTCTGCACCTAGTGTTCAGCTCAGCCAGGCAAGTCAGTGGAGCTCTAATAGCAGTATTTATCCTTTTGGCAACTGCAGAGACATGGAGAAAGCAGGGAGGAAAAGACAGAAGGCACCCCAGAAGAGGAGCAAGGAAAGCCACACAGACAAATGAAAGGGTGCAGAGCACATTTTGCAGAAGGCAGAAATTCCCATATCCATTAGGACTTGCTGTCTAAGTAAAAAGAGTTCCTGGAAGACACAACCAACTTCTCTGCAAAAAGTGTTTGTTTTAATAAAGGACAGGGAGAAAAAAAAAAAGGTGAAACAAGAGAGACATCTAAAGAACAAGAGCTATGCAAAAACAGCAGGCAAAGGGCAGAGGCCATTTGTCTTCCCCATCTATGGAAAAGTGAAGGCACATGACAAAGAAATAGAGACCTCCAGGAAAGTTCCTCCAGGAGAAATGCCTACCTTTCCCCAGAAACCCACAGATGGCCTAACAGGGAGACAGGATAGCCACTGAAGTACTCACAAGCAGCTACTGCTCTCTACAAGATGCTGCATGTGCCAAAGACATGCTTTCATGGAAGCTTCCTGATCCCAAATTTAGGATAACAGTTCAAGGATTTCTCTTAATCCAGGTGAAATAAAGATATCAAAAATAATAAATTCCCCCCCCCCAACAAATCATCCTAACATGATGCATGTCTCTCATTTCCTACACAACAAAGAACAAATCATAAAACCTGATATTTATGAGTTTGGACTTGCAAGCAACTTTCACTTCACATCCCTTTGAAGATGAGGGGTAGGTCCTTTCAAAGTCTCACCTGAGTAGATCAATGCTCTCAGCTGCTACTCTTGCTCAGAGCCCCAGACACTTCCCACAGGAACGCTGCTGTACTCCAGCGTCAGGGCAAGATCAAGCCCGCAGTTATATGAACATGCAAAGGACAAAGGACACTGCCATTGAAGTGCCAAAAGTTAACTGCATATTCCAAAATGTATTGCTGTGCCAAACCAAAAATATAAGTAATGGCTGCAAATGTAAAAGCATTTATAAACAACCGGTCTCTCCACTGTTAATCAGTGGCCTATTCGTTCATTTTTTGAGAAATAATGCCCTGCCCTCTGCAGTAAGACAAAGAGTTAGAAATGTGGGAAAAGCTTTTGTATCTGCTGATCAAGCAAAAGAAAACTTTTTTCAAGCTGCCCTTCTGACTCCAGTGTATCAACAGTTTGTCCCCCCTGCCCCACGACTACATCTGACACCACCGCCTCGGCTTATATCACAAGTTGAAAAGTGCTAGTAAGACTCCAAGATAAACTTGTCAATAGCGAGGCACAGACATTCACATTCTTCCCTACCTGCTTGTCAGCTGTTTGTCTGGGAGCAATTCCTTGAAAAGCTTTTACTGAGGGAGAAAAGGAAAGGGAGATGCAGAGAGCATTTCAAACAGAAAAAAAAAAACAGGGAGGGGAACCCCACAAAGACTGCAAAGAAAAAATAAATTAAAAAAAGCCTATCCCCATCAGGTCCTTCTAGCAACCTTCTTTATCAGAGGTTCATTGTCAATCAATTAGCCAAGGCAGCAGGGGTCTGTAGGAAGGGGGGTAGCTCGAGAGACAATGGTCTGCCCTGTTGTATTACTATTTAATCACTTTTCCTAAATAAATAAAGCAGCCCAGAGGTGCTGTCATGTCAAGGGAATTTATAACAAAAAACCCCTTCATTTTTCATTGGTCATTACTTTTCCTTCCCTCCCACCCCTGCAGGACTAGAGAGGGTTATTACTGTAGCCTTAAGTTCCATCTTTGTGTTGCTTGCCTTTGATTCCCACTCGGACCTTGCCACTTTCTGGCACTAATTTGTCAGGCTGAACAAAGGAGGGATTTGTACCTCCTGTAAGGTCTCAATTAGGAAAGGCTTCTGCTGTATTATGTGCCATTGGGACAGGACACAAAGACGGTAATTACAGGAATTTGCACTAAATGGCTGAAGAATTCACAGCAAAACTTTTCTTCCTCCCCCCTCCTCATCTTTATCCAAGCTTACCCCTCCCAGCAGCCCTGGGGAAAACTGGTCTCGGTGCCTGCAAGCTGTAATTACCACCAGCAGGCCCCTTGGGTTAAACAGCAGCCCAAGCCGGGAACGGTGCAAAAATGTTCACTTGAAACTCTCCTGGACCTCTGTCAGAGAATGAAGCAAAATTTAAAAAATTTTCCTCTACTGAGCTTTGAATTAAAAGAAATTAAGAGAAAGGAATATACTGTTTACTGTCACCTGGGACACTACCTTAAAATGAGGCAGTTAATTCTGCTGTCTTCTTGAGTTTCACAAAGCTGTCTCTTGGGTAACACACTGGGCTGGACCTATCTCGGGGATACTTATTCGAGTCATTCCCAGAGTCTCCCTGCTGTTTTCACTCTCACAACTATCCTTAAAGTTAAGACATGACCATTGCCCAGTAGTGTTCAGGTAATCAAGAGTTAGCACAGGACCCAGGCACCTTCAGTTTCAGCAGGAGTTTGGCACATGAATACTCCTAGAAAAAACTGACATAAAGTCATGCAAATGTGGCCAAGAACAGACTTGAATTCAGGCAGAAGCCCAACTACTGTGACCAAATCAATAACTGCAATGAGGTTGAGGTCAACCTTCAGGATGCTCTGGCTGCCAGGTGGGTGCCATGCACTGTAGAGAGATGAGCAGGAACGTGACCTGCTGGGGACTACCAGAGGGATGAACCCAGCTGCACCCACAGCCAGTTCTGAGGGCAGTCGAGTACGTTTGGAGCTCAGCCAGCAGGTCCTGGGCTCACCCAGACATCCCCAGAGTCATGTGTGGTTCCAGAGCAACAGGAGACCCCCAGCCCAGAGCAGAGTGGGGAGGAGGCAGGACCCTCACAGCTCCCATATCACAAGAGAAAAACCCTCCAAAAGACCTGTTTCTAATAGAGTGGACAATTTTGAAGGGAGTGTAACTAAAGCGAGTCAAAGACTATAGTTTAGGTATAAGGTGCCCAAATTTGCTCCACACAGGTGCTCTTGCTAAAGTAAAATGACAATGAGTTGCAATCACACAGGTCCTCTCTATTTTCGCTTCATTCCCAAACTGCATAAAATCATGATCTTGCCTAGGACTAGAGTCAGATGACAAATTTACAGTGACTCTGGACCACCTTTACAGTGTCCTGAATCAAGAAAACAGCTCAGCCACCCTGCAAGGCAGCCCTGGCCCATGTAGTGCTTTATGCGCAGCATCTAACTTTTCACTATTAGTCATCAAAAGCAGATGAACCTCTAAATATCCCATAGGTTTTGATCCACATTTTACAGAGAGCAAAGAAAGGCTAACTATGGCCACAGTGAGAGGCAGGGAACAGCTGTGTGCTGCTAGAACATATAAATGCTCTTTCAAGTGATTTTCTTTTCCTGCAGAAGGGGAGTAGGTGCAGATGCTGCAGCCTGGTTGCTTACCTGCACACTTGAAGCTCTGAACAGTGAGCCCTCTCTCTAGAGACAGCGTGGTCAGGATGCTGAGGAAGCTGGTGGTCACAGACTGGCGCTTGCTCTTTCTAAGGTCACTTCCCAAGGGCCGATCTCCAGGTTTGTTCCTAAGTGTGACCTGTGGGTTCTGAGTCAAACTTCTAGTAGCATTGGCTGCTGCTTTCAATGCCTCCATCCACTCCTGGGCCCTCTGACGAGTCTCTGCACGCAGGCGCAGGACATCCTGGGGGAAAATGACCTGAAAGCAAGAGTCACAGTCATCCTGAGTATCTGTCTGCACCGACAGGCACACATCGACATTGTAGCTCAGCAGAGGATCTTCATCAAGCCTACCGGGTTGGAATGCCATGAGATAAGACCTGTTCAAGACAAAAGTAAATGCCTTCCAGTTATTCTGGACAGTTAACCTGTAAAGAGTCCCTGATTTGAGAATATTTTGATACTCTTTAGTGTTTTCAGTCAAATTCATGGACAGGAAGAGCTCCATAGGCTTCTCTAATAATCCATTGGTTTGAGAAAGGTCACTGTTATTTTCAGGCTTTGGCATATTCTCCAGTTTCTCCTGCTGTCTGGTGAAAGCAGGCACGGAAGCATGCACTGCTTCCCAGAGTTTCTGTCCCCAGTCCAGTGTCTCCCACGAGGACTCTGCCTTCAGCTGTAGCTGTGAGCTGTCTGACAAGACAGTGTCCACCACCTTGGTTTCAATGCCACCAGTAACAGTGACCCTTTGAAAACGCATGAGTGGATACACGGTGGGAAGAGTCTGGTTGCCACTGCTGTCCAAGCAATACAGGTACAGTTTGTATGGGGAGAGCTCAGCGTAACAGGTTTGCCAGTAGCTGTCATTGTCTCTTCTAACTTCTAAGTATCCCTTCTTCAGGAGATTTGGGAACACTGGCTTGTGTTCTGGAAGAAACAAAATGAGAACATTACCATTAATTATTTTTTTAATTGTCTCAAATTGATACATCATCCTGGCTTATACACCTCTCCTACCTATACAAGGCACATCTGAGGATAGGATCACAGATTCAGCCTTCATCTAATAGGTTATAATTATCAAACACAAGCACTAACTCTACATTTGAGCCAAAGATAATACAGCACTTTTTTACCCAGAGGTACCAAAACACTCTACAAAAAGGGAACAGAGAAACATAAGGAAAGAGAAGCAAAGCCATTTTCCTGAGATTATCCAGGAGAATAGTAACAGAGCAACAAAACACTGCAAGTCTCCCAGAGCCTAGTCCAGAAGTGGACAATACTATCAAGTAATCTATTGCCAGATAAAATAGATTTCGACAGTGAGAAACACATACAAATTACAACACCTTACCCTCTCTTCCTGCTACTTCCCAGCCTCAACTTCATGTTTTCACACATACCTCCTCTGCCTCCCCACCTGTTCCAGCCAGCACAGGGGGGAGGGGAATAGCAGTATCTGGCCAGCACCTCTCTGCTGCTGCCTCCTTCTCACATCTTTCCCCTGCTCCAGCATGGGTCCTCTCCAGGAGCTGTGGTAGCTGCAGTCCTTCATATTAAACCTGCTCCTGCACAAGTTCTCCATGGCCACAGCTCCTTCAGGAAATCTCCACATTCTCCAGCATGGGGTCCCACATGGGGCTGCAGGGAGATCCTACTCCACAATGATCTCCCCAGGGGCTGCAGCACCTTCTCTTCCTCTGACCCTCAGCTACTCCTCACTTCACTGTGCAGTCCTCTGCCCTTTCTGAGATGCACACAGCCAGAATGACCCCACCTGTGGCTGATGGGCACAGCTGTGTGGTGGGGCTGCTGGAACCACCTGGAACAACCCCATTGCCAGCACCTGGGTACAACTCCTGGCACCCAGATTGACCCAGGTCACAGGGAATGGAGAACTGTGTCCAACATAGCAGTTTGTTACCACATTTCAGCACGACCTGGGACCAGAACATTTCGCACAGCTCTGTTTACTTCTGGGGAGCTTTGCTGATTTATGAGAATCAGGCTCAGGAGCAGCAGAAAGGACCAAAAATGAAAAGTGAGAGGGTGCCCAGACAGACTAAAACACATACACCTGAGCATCTCAACATTTCAGGTGTTTTGGAGCAGACTCTTTCACAAACCCCAGTCCAAGGCAAAGTCAAGGGGAATTTTCTTCATCACCAGAAAACCAGCCATACCCAAAGTCACTCCAGGCACTAAAGTGATACAAATTTAAAGGACTTATCTAAAGCATTTCTGAGTTTTAAAAAAAGGTTTCCATGCAAAATTTGTTCCAATCTGATTTGCACCATCAGCCACCATAGATGCAAAGATCATATTAACCTTGGGCTGGACATGGCCCTATGCAATTTTTTATAGTCCCTGTATAAATTCAGTGGCATTCATTGTTATGTCATACGAACTATAGCACTTGGCACCCCAAAACAACCTAGGCTTGAGGAAAAAATTCTTGCTCCTATCTGAGTTCTACTTCACCTTTCCAGTAAGTGTGATGGGTCTTGACTTACAAACAGTGGCAGAATTAGCAGACACAGATAGAGGTTTCTGCCTCCTGTTGTCCATCTCCCTTGGAGACTGCTATTCCAGACACAAGAGAAAGGTAGCAACCTGGAAACAGCTCCTCACCCACTTCCCAGCATAATTACATCACAACAAAATCAGCATCAATTGACCTTAACACACAGCATTACAAACTGCAAGATACAGGAGCTCTTTCCCTCGAGGTTTTTGCCTTGGGGCTGACAGCTTTTGCAAGAGGGATAGGGCAGACAGCTGGAGGCATAAAACATTTTCAGCATCTCAGCTTAACCAGTTACACTAATGTTAACAGGCTACGCTTTAACCAGCTTTAGACATGATAACCTCAGAGTACACCAAGGATGTCCTCAACACACAGTTATGAGAACAGAAGCATCTAGACCTGATGAAGCTTGGAAACAAAGAGCCAAAAACAAGACTACATAGAAACTACCGCACCCCCATCTGTACTGGACTTCCCAGGTATTATGGCCAAGATTGCTGGCCAAGCTGCTCTCACCACTGCTGGCTAATGGGTGTGTCTGTTTACTCTCCAGGGCACAAGCAGAGTCAGGGACTATGAGTATTTGAGGGACCTAGTTACTGTCCAGGGGTTTCTGATACCAACTGGTGAGAAAGCAGAACTTATACTAAGGAGATACTCCCACCCGTGGTTGAATGCAATGCTACAGCTGATTGTGTGTTTTGTCCATGGGCAGAAGGAGGATTCAGAACAGCAACAGTGTAAAAGCTTCTTGTAGCTCTTCAATGGAAACCAACTTTAAGCATTTATAAGGATTAAGTACACAAGTTTCAGTTAAATTTATTGAACATATATGAAAATTAATTGTTTGATATACTTGATGTGAGTATGCAAACCTCATGTGGGTTAAAAAAAGGAAGAAGGATGCTACTTCCCACCCACACAAACTAAAAGGATGCACTTAGGTTTTGCCTTGCCAGCTCAGCCTCAGCTTCCCCACTCACCCATACACTCAGAATGGAGCCTGCTTTTAACACCATGCTCAAAGCACTCCATCTACAAAGATTTCCTGCAGATGTGGCTAAAACCACAACAACAATTTAAAAAATTGCTACTTTGGCACTAGGTCTAAAAAGGTGAGTATAACTATACCTTGCAAACCAATAAACTACGTGAGAGTATTTCAGCTAAATATGAAAACTGAAAGCCTAATCTATAACTCAAAATGGCAGTGAAAAAGCACACTTTGATAGCCCAAATGGATAGATACACATGCACATGCACAAACTAAAAGAGAACCAATTTTGTTCACTGTACATCTCTGGCCCTGACATTCATTAGTATTTCTGCGCTAACTCAAAAGCCATTAATTTCTCTGAAACCCACACTAATCCCTTTGTAGTGCAGATAATGGGCAGCCATTCTAGAGTCATCTTCCCTTTCTATTAATCCAATCAGAGAGGCAGCGCTTCTGCAGCTCCAACTGCAATCTCTCTCGCTTCCATCAAGTACAGATGACAGTTCAAGCTTCTCCATAATAAGACAACTCGTAACCTTCCCCCAGCCACCCCTCCTTCATCTGCACACAGGTTTGCTTGTCTTTTGTTGAGTTAGAGAAAGGCTATCTCTCCCTGCCTTTCACAGAAGCACCCCCCCTCCCTCCTTCACCCCACTCCTTCCCTTCAAGCTCCCATGAATTGGCTCCAATGGCTCTTGCTCTAACTGGGACAGAACCAGCAGCCAACTTGATTAACATTCAAATGCCTCACATTGTTTATGTCAGGGCAATAGATGCTGGCAGAGACACGTTGAATCCATCTGCCACACATATACACACACCTTTATCTCCCTGACTTGCCTTTATCTCCCAGTGTGCCAGATAATACCTTTCCATTCAGAGAGCAAATGGTACCATTTCTCCATCCACCTTCCAAACAGAAACTACATCTCTTTTCCTCCTTACAGACAAGGAGAGTAAATTGAGGAAGAGTGAAAAAAGGCAAATAATCACAGAAAATGGCCATGCCTGAGCCATTTGGAGTTATAATTTCAAGGGAAGAGGGGGAAGAAGGCAGAGGAAAACAAAGAGAGACTTGGCAGCTGGGGACAGGCCAGTAATTTCCTCAGCATCTCTCTTCCCCCCAGGAACTGCCCACTACTCCTGGCTAGGAACCCCACACCTAGCACACAACTACCCCTCTTCACACTCGGGGCAGCTGGTGCAACCAGCAGCACTGGAGAGGGAGCCCAAATGTTGTCTCAGCAAGTCCAGAAGATATGTGCTCCTGAACAACTGACTGCACTTGCATCTCTGTTGGCATGGCAGGAAAACTTGTCCTGTTTCCCACCACCAAAGCATTTCTGATGACAGATGAAGTAACTTGGAAAAGAGCAGAAGCTCCCTAGTCTCTGGGGAGTTTGTCTCTTGAGGTGGCACTCCTCTCTGAATTCTCTAATGCTAAGTGAGTGATGGGCATAACTTACAGAGTTTTTGTCAATAGTCCCCCCCCCCTCTGATTTTCACAAAACTTAGCAGAATGCTCTCAGATTGGGTTGGGCTAGTCCCCTGTTTGCTGGGGTTTGCTAGATCAGGAACAAACTGTGCCTCAGCCAGTATGACTCAGATCCGCAATGTCCACTATTTTCCTACTTAAAAAACAGTCTTTTCTTCCCACCTATTTTCCCACCTGGCTCTGCAGATATGTATCTTTCAGGCAGGTTTATATGATTCTACTTGGTCCTGAAATAATGGCATTGACATTTAGCCACAGATTTCCGGCAGATGGCTGTTCTGGAACCAAATCTGGCATCTTCTCTCAATAACACCTCTTTTCAGGGGACTACTACAGAAGTGGGACTTATAACTAGGTAGTGGTTTGCATTAATCTATATAAAGTAACAGCATCACTCCCCACCAGAAGGCCATTCACTCTTTTTCATCTTCCCTAGGCTTAAAGAAAGCAAAACCTGCTTTGAAAATGTTGATCTTGCAAAAACTCTTCATTTTATATTTATGTATTGTCAGAGAGGTTGGTTTAGCTGTTCACCAAAAATAAGCTTCTCACTGAATAAATTCCTTAAACAGGTGGATAAAGAACCCAAACAAAATACTCTTTACGTCTTGCCCTTCAGGTGTGGCATTGTATGACAAACATAAGAGAAACTCTGATGAAGTCTACAGGATCCCTGCTGCCCCACCACTCCATCCAACTGCTTTTGCTCCTCAGCAGTAAGCTGAACACTTGTATAGTGCTTGCTGAGGAGACCACCAGCACCCTGTGCATACTGACACAGTGCCTGCACCAGCGGGGCAGTGGAGAAGGAGGCTGGATTCAGTCAAAGTGCAAGACCAATGCAGAAAGGACTCAACTCTGGCAGAGATAGAAGTATAATGAGTTGAAAGAGATGGTTACCTACTATCAGCTAGAAGATACATGAAACAGCAGCACTTGCAAAAGAAGTGAGAACATAAAATGAAGATGGGTTTGCTGATTTTTTTATAAATCACTCAATTCAGCTTTAAAAAGGAGGATAGGATAAAGTGACTGTCAAAGCTATGAAAACAGGGTCAGTTCACATTAGGAAAGTCAGCTGACACCACTAAGGGAATTATAGCAACTAACCTGAAAATTCAGTTATGAAAGTCATCACATCATCACTGGAAGCAATCAGCACTGCCCCAGGAGATGAAAACTCTGTTCATTAGCTTTATGGAGTGTTGTAACTCCCGAGCAAAAATCTCCAAGAAGAATAAACCTTCCAACCAGAACAGCTTCACCACCTAACTCATCAGTGCTGTTTACTGTAATCCTCCTGCACTATGAATTTATCCACTGTATGGGAACCTCTCCCATTGCCTCCCACCACACTCCCCTCTCCATCACTGCACACTCCTACAGCCTCCCAGGCAAGGGAGTGGAGTAGGTCACATTTCCCTCCACTCAAGGCAGCTGCCCAGCCCAGCTGCTGCTGCTGCTCTGTCAGCCCCCATGGCCCTTCCAGCTCAGAGGGTGCTCAAGTCCAAGGAGTAATCAGCAGTGAGCCTGCAGTTAAGCTCTTTGAGAGCGTCCAAAGGAGAGCGACAAGGGCCTTGAGGGGAAGCCGGATGAGGAGAGGCTGAGGGCACTTGGTCTGCTCAACCTGGAGAAGAGGAGATGGAGGGGAGACCTCACTGCAGTTACAACTTCCTTGTGAGGGGAAGAGGAGAGGCAGGCACTGATCTCTTCTCTGTGGTGACCAGAAACAGGACCCGAGGGAATGGTCTGAAGTTGTGTCAGAGGAGGCTTAGATCCGATATTAGAAAAAGGTTCTTCACCCAGAGGGTGGTTGGGCACTGGAACAGGCTCTCCAGGAAGTTGTCACAGCACCAAACCTGACAGAGTTCAAGAAGCATTTGGACAGTGCTCTCAGGCTCATGGTGTGACTCTTGGGGACAGTCCTGTACAGAGCTAAGAGCTGGACTTGATGATCCTTGTGGGTCCCTTCCAACTCAGCATATTCTGTGATTCTGTGAAGTGATGCCCACCTCAATTTATCCAGGGATGTTAGTGGGGAAGTACCATCCAGCAGATGAGCTGAAGTCAGGTGATCTAAATTACACTCCCATTTGATCTTGGGCGAAGCACTCACCTATCTTTGTCCCTGCTCACACTCCTTATCCTTACTGTGTGGTGTATTTAAGCTGTAATCTCCTGGGAGAAGGGACTGTCTCTTGCTGGATGCACAGAACTTATGGCACTTATGGACCCCTGCAGTGAAGGGCATCCAACTCGCATTCTATTTTAAACAACATTTTTGCCTCTTTAAGTCTTGAAAGGTCCCAAATCTCTGCAGTACAGCTACCCTTTCTTGACTACCTTTTAATGCTGAAAATAAATTGGCCACGGGGGGGGGAAACACCAGTTCTCCAACAGGCTTGATACCTCTGGGATTATTTCCAAGTGGTTTGAGGCTTACTGCTCTCCAGAGGGGAAGGTGCAGAAGTGTTATTTCTGCACATCTGCCTCTCAGATGGCAGCACCATTATCTTCTGCACAACACCACAGTCCTATAATGTTCTGCCATCCCAGTGACAATTAATGGCCTATTTTTCTGCCCTGGCTATGTAGCTTCTTACCTACCGCAGACAAAGGACAGTGCTACAGGGGTGTTTTGCAAACTCACGAAAAAAATTAGGCTTCAGAAACTTCCCTGGCAGATGGGTTAGGAGCTAGGCTTTACCCAGCCATCATGGGAAGGGAAGCATTAAGGTTGTATGTCACACCTCTGGTATTTCACATCACTCAGGATCTCTGGCTGTCTCCATCTGTGCAGCAGCTCCTGTACCTGCCACATCTCCCCTTTCCAGTCAGCTGTCTTTGCAGCTCCTCCCTGAGTGGGACAACAACAGTGGCTGCTGCTCTGTGACCCAGCACCACAAACCTGCTCATCACACTCATATCTGTCACTAAATACTGTGTGAGTTGATGTCACAGGCACAGAGCGAGTACCAGTCACCACTTCTGCTTGAAGGTGAGGATATCTGGCAAACAAACAAAGCTTCATAAAGTCTTGTGTGGTTGCCAGAGTTGCAGCGCTGTAAAATGACCCCTCAGAACTCAAGGATCACCCCCAGTCCCCAACCTGTGAATCAGTGATGCACTGCTCATGAATGCAGATTTAGATGTCTTAACCTCTACACAAACACACTAGAAAAGTATGTAATACGTAAAAGAGCTGTATGAAGAGGGGCCCAAGCCTCTCATAATATCCCCTGCACAAACTCTGAGTACAAGATCATACCTCGGACTCGATGATCTTAGAGGTCTCTTCCACTCTAAATTACTCTATGATTCTACAAAAAAGCAAGCAGCAGGAACAGATAAGCTCATAATAACAGATATACTATGAAGATAAGGAAAAAAAAGTGAAAAGTTAATCTATGCAGCAACTGGGACAGCCTTGGAGGACTGGGAGACCTCTGCAGGTTCCAGAGGGAAGTCCTTTACTGCAGTGGGGACTGACAGGACTGGCTGAAGCCGCTCTCAGTATCTCATAGCATTCATTTAATTTGGATTAAAGCCCTGGAAAGGGATGTCTCCACAGGCTGCAGTGACTATGACCCCTTCAACCACCACAGCAGGTTTTAGCCAACTTCAAAATACATTTTTTGGTCTATTCTGGAGAACAATTACTAGTCACATATATACATATCTGCAAGACCTACTTTCTTGCTTTTGTGTTTCTCTTTTCAGCTCAGCTCACAGTAGCAAAAACTTTATGGCAGCCTCTCTTGTAAATACAGAGGGAAGAAATAGCATGGCTACCTTGTAAAACCTGCACAGGAGTTGAACAGGTAAAGAAAACAGGTTAAAAGACTGCATCTTCAGAGCACAGAAGCTCTCCTACGTGTTTGTGTACTTAGGTACACTTATATATGCACACATCTCCCCAAACACAAACATTTAGGTACTTGCTTTTCATGCTTCAAAATAGCTGATTTGTCTGGAAAACCTAACACAAAAAGCTTGTTTTAACCCTAAACAGATCACCTATTCATAACTGGAGCCATTCCACCATATGCGTACATGCACAATTTCACAGCCCTTTGAGTTTTAAATTCCTTTGTTAAGCCCTGCCTTTATTTAGATTATAAAAATCTTTGTGGCACTAGCTGCTTTTCTTCTCCACAAGTGCCTAGTCCACTTCTGGCATCTACAAAATAAATCGTGGAGATGGAAACACTGGGTGAGCATTTCCGAAGCTCTGAGCACACCCTCTTTCAGTGCAGTGCTTGAGAGGAAAAGGAAAAAATATCACTTGCTGAAACACGGCTTCACACAACCCACTGGAGACCTGCCTCAACCTGATAACAACCCTTCCCTACCCCACACAAAGCTAGCAGGGATGCCTTAATATTGACAACAACAAATCGTGTGCTTGAGTTGCTGTTAATTGTTTATGGACTGAACAATCATCATTTCCTAAAGAAAGAGAGTAGAGATTTCAAGCCTCACAGTAAAGCTCTGTGAGGCCACTCTTTATGAAAACTGCTCTTGTTTGGATTTGCCATTCTCCCAATAGCTTTAGCATTCAAAATTATTTTTAGTTTGGGAAGACCAGGTAAGAAAATTATCAGAAATACATAACAATAAATCATTTTCCTCAGTCAAACTGAACAAAATAGAAGAAAAAAGTAAAACAAGCTTAGTTTTTCATACCATGAGAGGATCAGAAGTCAAGATTAGTTTAAAAACTGATTCTTAGGCAGGCAAAAAGACAGAGCCACATCAAAGACAAAAGAGCCATACTGATTTCTTTCCTTCTGAGAGTTACCTAAAAGTTGCTTCTTGGGTATTTTGTTTGTGTTTTTTAAGATGGAGGTCCTCTTTCAAGACAAATCTTAAAAACAAATAGGAAATTGCTCATATCAGCAGAAACAATAAAGCACTGGCACAAACCTGTGTTTCCTTGGATGTCCTCTCCCTTGGTTAATGCCAGGTAAGAGAGCAGAGTGCAGTTATTGTCCTGACCGGGTGCAGGTGGCTGCTGCAGGGACGTGCCTGTGAAGACCACTCCCCACTTCACATGGCTGATATCGGAGCGTGACCTGTTGTGTCCTGGTTTGAACCTGGAGGCTTCCTCGTTCTGTACCAGGATGTCATTCACTGAGCGAGGCCTGTCCCTCCTCCGCTGGCAGATCCTGAAGATGTTAAAAGCTGTGGTCTCCCCTTCCCCTGCCCAAGCAAGGTTGTCAGCAGTTGTTCCCCTCTGCACCACGTGTTGGTCTTTGGCAGGAAATGCTGTCTGAGCTTTGGTTTCCAAGAGGCCATTTTTGCAGTGATCCCAGATGAGGCTACTTTTGGCTAAGGAGGCGACATTCCTCAGATTCCTGCTCTCTGTTATATGATCAAATACCTCGTGCCCAACCAGCTCAGGGACCTCCTGCACACCATACACCTCAGAGGGCTGCACAATCTTTTCAAGCTTAGTATCAAAACCGTTGAAAAAGTCTTCAGTCACTTCCAAGGCAGGGCTGATGTCATCAACTTCGAGAGCCTCCATATCCTGTGCTGCCGGTGGGCCCGAGGCGCTGTGATGCGTTAAGAGGATACCACATCAATATCGAGAGAAAGAGCTGCTTCACATCTGTCCTTGGCACTGCATTAACTTGGAGGTGGTGGGGCAAATACAATCACCAACCACAGTCCGTGGTGGTAGGAAGTAACCAAATCAACCTGTCTTCAGATGAAAGACCAACATCCACTAATCAAATGGGCTACGGCCTCTCTATGAATTAAACTCATAGCGATGAAGAGTACCTGTAAAACAAAGCAAAACATCACATCAGTAAGGGACTTTTCTCAGATAAATATGTTTAATCACATCACTCCCTTGACAGTCACAGTCCCCTTCATTTAACTTCCTCTTACAACTGGCACCAACCTTATTGTGTACAAAGAAACCCTTTGTGGTTTCTGTTGTTCACTGTGTGTGAATTCTGTGTATAATCGCTTCTGGAACTGGAACCTGCAGAGAGCAGGATGGGGCACCAGATGACAGGAGACCAAAGTGATACTATTTATTAGCCAAGCTTTACAAAGCTGCATTGAGAGGCAGTACTGAATAAAATCACAAATGCAGCCACCTAGGGAATGCTTCACACAGTTTCCCTTGGGGTTCTAGAAAAAGTTAGGAAATTAAGTGCTACTAAAATAGGCCAACTAGCCTCAAATAGTTTGCCTTTTGTCCTAGATTGCTTGCACTACCAATTTTCGGAGACCAAGATGAGTTTTACAGCAGCTACTTTCCCTACCTGTCTGCATTTCCCTACCTGTCTGTGATATTTGCCAAAAAATCAATTCTATGAGGATGCTGCAGAGCACTGCACATAGTTTTTCTTAGAACATCACTGGGAAGCTAAGTGAAACTATGTGGCAACCTAAGTCTCAAAAAGACTAACAGCAAAACAAAATATACCATATCCTGCACTATTGCAAATCCACAGATCTTTACTTTCAAGCTGTTGACTCACTGGGCAAAACCTAAGAACAGCAAGGAGCTTTAAGACTAGAACTATTGCACAGCTGCACTGACCCACCTGAGCTCACACCTGTGAGGAGGAAGGATGGGGGGGGTCCATTTCCTGTTGTGCAATAAGGGGGTGTCTCATTGCTGACTTCTTGTCACACCAAGCCTGCTGCCTTCTAACCTCTCCCTCTCGAAGCTCCATCCACAGTGCTGTGGGAAGTGCATTGTAGGGATGTTTAAACTGAGGTAACCTGTCAAATATCTGCAAGTCCTTCAGACCTGGAGACTGGGCATTTGTGCTAAAAGGAAAACAGCCCTCACATCTGCCAGGACAAACCACAGTACCCAGAGCCTGCACATGTAGCCTAAAGTCAGAGTTTTGACCACATCAGCTCAACTCCTAGAAGCAGCAAAGCTACATTAACTTAGAGCTCTGCCTACATTAATACACTCTTAACAGAACTAATTAGCCGGGCTGGGCTGATAATTAGCAGCTCATTAGCTTGTGAACGCTGCTGAAGTGCTACCAGGACCCATGAAGATTTACACCCAGCAGGAAAAAACATCTATTAAAGAGCATCAAACACAGATAATACTTCTATTTAAGGTTGTGGGGTTTTTTTTAATCCAGAATAGTCTATTAGCCCAAACTCTATAAGGAAACCTGTTTAAATAGGCACCCTATCCTGTAGCAAGCCAGAGGAAGGAGGCCAGCAGCCCCCCAAGAAGGGGGCACAGAATCCTGTAGCAGAAACCAACCCCCCATCCCAAATCTCCTCCTGGCTTCCTCCCATCCCTGCTTCTGTTGTGGCCAGCCATGACACAGCTGTGCTCAAAAGCAGCAGCTCACCCTCTCTCCTAACAGATCTGCAGTTCAGACTACGATCTCCAGAAAGACACTCCAAGTAAAGAACTTTCAAAAGCAACTACTAATCACATACACAACTCTGGAAATGTCAAGCCTTTACACTGAGATCTTTCTCCCCTTAGCTCTTTGCAAGGATTCACTTAGGCTCATAGTGAACCAGGACTAGGATCAGCTTCAACAAGTAAAAGTAGAGTAAGACTCTGAAGGTAGAGCCAAAACCACAACCATAGGGCTGAGCAATACAGATCTGGATTTATTTCAAATGAGAACACTATGGGAACAGACATTTTGCAAAGCTGTGCAACTGTGCCAGTTGACAGCAGCAGGAAATAAAGTCATCCTGGGCACATCTGCATCATCAGCTTAATGCAGTATGGAGCTCACTCTTGAAGCTCATTCCTGCCAGCAGCCTCAGAACAGTGTTCTGCTCCCTGGTACAACAGAGCTCCAGGAACAGGCTAAGTTCAGTGTCACATGAGACCTTCTGGAGCAGCAATCACTCCAGAAGGGCTTGTGACATGCCATAGAAGCATTCCAGTGGTAGTAGATACCATGTTGCTCTGTTCTTTATTTTAAATCATTAGGAAAGGTGGAAAGCAAGGGTGAAAAATGACACTTACATTTAACAGGTTCATTTATAAATGCTGGAAGCTTCAAGTGGCTGCATGTTTCTCTGGATCCTGTGAGACTGAAGCTATCCAGCAGCCAAGTATGGTGATGCCAAACTAAACTGACCTCATATCCAGTAGGATGCTGAATCACAAGGTCATGAGAAGATGACAAGCCTCTGCATCACACGGTTCACAAACTGCAGCATTCGTACCTTCCAAAGTAGTCTGTTTGCCCTGCTCCACAAAGATGTGAAAGGTGACCTCAATGGTGGCAGGCTCATCCTTCCTTATGCCACCAGAAGAGTTGTGCCAGTAATTCCCACTAGGAATTGCTGGGATTCTGCAATTACATATCCTCCATAAACACAGTTTGGTGTTTTCTGACAGAGGCATTCAATAAAAATTTAATTCAGATGTCTGCATGGATTTGGTGCCAAGTGAAAGCAAACTTTGACATGGCAGGGTCCATCAGAATCCCCTCCAGGAGGGAAAGCAGTGAAAACCACTTCCTTCATGTAAAGGGGGAAAAAAGGCAAACATTGGGATAAGTTAAACTCCTTTTAAGTTACTATAAAATGTATTGCCTTATGTACTGTTTCTTGAAACACCTGAGATTACCCAAAGACATTCAGTCTAAGGCAGTGAATATGAGAGGAAGAGAGAAGCTATTGAAGACCACCAAAGCTATAGGGAACTATAAGGACAGATTTGTGCTCATCCAGCCCCTGGGAACTTGTCTTACCGAAAAAAGGGTGAAGGAACATGCCACATTATACTCAGAAAAAATTGCTGGACACAGGGACTGCAGCAGCTGAAAAACAGCTTTTCTTTATGTTTGCCTAGGACTGATACAGTTTTCATCCATGAACATGCAGCAGTCAGATAATTAATGTGCATTTACGAGATGAGTAAAGTCATTACTATCACAAGAGGTAAACAGCAAGGATTACTGGTCATAGCACATGAGGCACTGAAGTTCAGTTTAGTCAAGATTACCTTCCTTAGAGAAGCCACACGGACTTAACCTAGGTGACAGCACAATGTGACACAAAGAAAAATCAGGGATGACAAATGCCAAGGAACATACACTGGAAGAGATCATTTAACCTCCTCATGTGTTTTTCTGGATCCTCATGGGCCAAGGAAAACATCCATGCATTGTATGGCAAAATTTAAAAAGCACAGAAAATGCCAGGGTAGAGAGTAATCTTGTAGGTGATATGTACCACCACAACAGGCACCCGCTGTGCACCCCCAGCTTATGCATCATGTACAGGACTGTTCATTCAAGCTCAGGCAGGAGGGAAAGCTGGAACCAGCGTGTGCTTAGGAACCAGTGACTGAAGAGATCCATTTAGCTCACCAATCCATCCAAAAAGTAAATTTAAAAGAAACACCTTTCAGTTTGGTTTTCTAAGGAAACAGTTTGTGCAACCACCCTGCAATCAGCCAGTTATTCTCCTTCTCTCTCTTTCTTTTGAACTGCACAATAACTTCAACTAGATGTGACAAAGCAGTAGTGTCCTTAAAGATGCAGTTCTTAAACCGCTGTTCAACACTGGACAGGAAACAAGTCCAAAGTTACCCTGCTGCTAACGGAGAAGCAGGCAAAACTCAGTCCCTCTCCTTTCTAGGAGCCCAGTTCCACCACATGGGTCTCTAAATTAGCCATGGCACAAGTGACTAATGAGAGATGGATCTGAAAACACTGGGAAGCAAAGGGGGAAAGCAGGAAGAAAGAACAGGAGGCATCACCCAACTTGATAAGTGATCTTGTTGGTTTTGGTACTCAGAGGACTTCCTCTTCAGTACACAGGTAAGAGAGATGTACAACACAACAGATAAATAGGGACTTCCCCTTTTCTCTTGTATTTGGAAAGAAAATTAGAAAGCAACAATCAATGATGTTCACAAGCAAAGTGTTCTGGAGGAAATGCATAAATGATAGGAGCTCTCAGCAAGCAAAAGATAGCAAAAGACAGGTTATATTAAAAGTTCCCCAAGTCTCATTGGTTCTTAATGACTCTTGGGCTCAAATTCCTGGCAAAGATTCGGGTTTCTGAGAATTTTATCTCAAGAGCTCAAGAGGAGTTTTACAAGTTACCTGTAATCAAACAGAGAGCAGGGGTGCCTCAGCCACCACAGAGCTTGCCCTGTTCCCTTCTCAACATCCTGGAACCCGCTGTGGGAACCAGCTCTGCTTATCTCATGCTGCATTACAACTGTGGGCTGAAATGGGCTCCAATGCCAATAAGGAAAACAGAGGGAGAAATTCAGTTGGGTAACAACTGGATAGCAGAGCAAATTCAAGCAGCTTCAGGGACATTTATTTCTGTTACGTCGCAGGTCTGGCCCACTACAGTCCAGTTTATGGTCTGAAGAACAGGTCATCTGAAGAAAAGATGGATGCACAGATGTATTTGAATACAACCCACTGGGGCTGGAGCAGATAGTACCTAATGAGCTTTTCTGCCTGTCAGTCTCAGCAACCTCATACAGTGACCTGAATGTCTTCCAGTGGCACCTTGAAAAATTACAGCTTATTAGTTGTGCCACTACAAGGATTTCTGACTTGCTCTGTAAGTCACATCAGCCAAGTACTGCCCAGAATCTAAAGAGCACACACTTAGGTCAATGACAGTCCTTAAAAACCAGGCTCCGCTGTGCGGAATCCCTGAAAAAAAAAACCTATGAAGCTGAAGACTTAGATGCTACCTCCTAGTTAGGAAGTTGAGCTGTATTTGTCACACGGGCACACCTGAGTGGGCAGAGGAGAGAACGAGGATGCACAGATGGCTGACTGTCACACACACAGGCTTTCCCATTGCCTGTGCAGTTCTATGCAATGCTGGCACAGACCGCTTGCACAAGGAGCTGAAGAGCTGTCAGGGGCAGGTACCGCTGAGTGCCCGCTTTTCAGCACCCCCCTGCTGTAACTGGATGACAGATGATGCTTTCTCTATTTACAGTATAGCAAAGCCTACCCTGCAAACACCCAGATGTAATCAAAGAACAGTCCTGTTCACTTACACACTAAGTACTTATAAATCCCAGGCAATACAGTGGCCAGTTCTCTGAGCAGCAACCGAAAACTGCACTCCTGCTTTCCTCTCATACTCACCTTGGAGCTATCACATTCTCTTGTATCCTGGCTGTATTTTTTTCCCTCAGCACAAGGCAAGCCTTCTCCCCGAGTGATGCCAAAACCTCAGGTGACCCACTGCTGTGTACATCAGGTGAGCAACAGAGCACACAAGCTTGCTGGATTCATCATTAAATGGCTGGATTAAATCTACAGTGCATTGCAAGAAACTTTTCATACAGAGGAGATGACAGTTTCAAAGAGGTTGCCATATAGTTGTCACTGGTTGGTTCAACATGGCCTGGATAATTGTCTTGAGATCACACATTTAAAGCCCCTCTTCAAATGCCTCTTCCCCCAACAGACAAACCAAAATTATTTGCTTAAAATTTTCAGAATATCCCAGCTTTAAAGTGCCTCACAAAAATATTTTTTGACTCACATTCTTGCACAAGCCCACCAACAATATTCAGGAAAGGCTCACAAAAACTGGAGTAGGAGACTTTCTGGTCAGGAATGCTTGACTATAGGGCCAGGCTCTAGACAGGGTAACTGTGAATTTAAGCATAACCATTTCTGTGTTGC